CTTCAAGTTTGAAGATGAATACGAGGCGATCGTTTCGTCGCGAACGTTCTTTTAACCATCGAATTCGATTATCATTTTTCTACTCAAAAGCGCAATTATATTTTCAAAGATACTTGGTGCGTATTTTTAATTTCTTTTCCGTCGTCATGTTACTTCGTGTCTCTCGCGCTTCAAGTTTGAAGATGAATGCGAGGCGACCGTTTCGTCGTGAACGAACGTTCTGTTAACCATCGAGTTCGATTATCATTTTTATACTTAAAAGCGCAATTATATTTTCAACGATCGGTGCGTATATTTTTTCATCATCGACGTTACTTCGCGCTTCGAGTTTGGAGATTAATGCGAGGTGACCACATCATCGGCACGCAAGTGGAATATCTCAATTAAATCGTCCTGTTCTCGAGGGAGACGTTCGCGATGCGAGAGACGTTGAAAATGCCGAGGCGTCACGCTTGCAGTTTCGTTTTGCGGACATTCATACGCGGACGATCGTGCGTGCCGGGAAAGCGTTTTACTTCGATGACTAATACATTTACGACGGCGAGTGCAATTTTCCTGAATCGAACGGAGAACTCTCCTCGCGATCTCCGGGACGCGAAGGAACGACCGCGCGTCTCTCATTCCGCGACGGTCTCTTCGAGACCGGTTACCAAATTTAAACGTCGATTGACGCAATCCCCTTAGTAAGTAAATGCGTAAGTCAATCGATCGAGTGGCCAGGTGCATTTAATGGGAGTAAACTTTCGGTCCGCCATTACGAAATCGTCGTGCAATCATCATCGGGCACATCCAGTCACTCGTCACGATCTCCCTTTCGTCCTTTTCTCTTTGCATTTTCGCCGCGTCGACGAGACACGCGCGAGATTAATGATACGTACGCGATGGGAATTTGTCGAGAGACATCGGCACGTTCGAGAGATGCTTCTCGAACGACGCAGATGCTGGGGGCTCCGTCGTCGGGGGGAGAGCCCGCGCGTTTACGTCATCGGTACCAGCGCGGATTCGCCCCGCTCCGTCTCGGACGCTCGGGAAAGCGACGATGCGCTCGCGTTTTCCCGAGAGGAGAGAAAAATTCCGCGGTGCGTGCGTCCCGCTGCGCGCGCGAGGTGTGCATCGGCACGGATCTCCCGCGGATTAAGCCGTTCGCTCCGGTTGCACGATGCAAAAGTAAAAGGATCCCGCCTGTGCTCCCGCTCTACTCGCCGACACGGTCTCGATAATTATAGCGCGCGGGAAAATGGGGAAAGCGGCTCCAGCTCTAGCACGCGGAGCGGAGTCTCGATGCGGCACTAAAAGCATGATTAAATGATCGGAGGGGTCGTTAAGTGAGTAGGAAGCTTCGCTCGAGCGAAGTGAGTTATCGCGCACATCGCGCGTCTTCTTCCGTTTCACGCTAATGGGACGTGCCCGTTGCGCGCGCGGGGATGGGAAACGCGCGTCGTTCGGAATTAATGGACTCTCACGCGGAAAAGTTTCGCGGGTGAACCGCGAGGATTCCGAGATCCGCGGAGGACGGACAGGACGAATGTTCATGCGAGAGAGCGCGAGACTGGCGCGGCTGACCTCGCCCTCCTGCTCCGTGCGATCGTAGCGTCCGCGAGACTACAGTCGTATTTTTGAAACGCGCGGTAGAATTGAACAGATTAAGTTTCGTGACGCGAAAATCGTTTCTCCCTCTCCTTCCTCCTCTCCGATGTGCCCCCCTTCGTGGCGACTTTTACATTAAAATTATGAAATTTAATACGAAACTGAAATCTCACGAGCGCTCGCTGTGTCGTTAATGTTCAGTCTGTTACTTGAAATTCCTAGTCAAACTCCAATTATTATAGATGACTCTCGTCTCTTTGCGCGCAAAAATACGCAACGTATTTGGAAATCTATCAAGCCTCACCGAGCTGACAAAATCGTAGATAAGATGCGGCACTTTGACCCCGTCTGTCGGAAATTGACAGTCAAGCGGAGAAAGAAGAGAAGGAACGTAACGCGGGGCTTATTGAGAGTCGTTAACGAGTTTCTCGACGCGCATCGCACTTATCCTTTTACCGAAGATAAATACATGAATAATCGCGCGCGATTACGAGTCCAATCGTACGGGGAGCTTCGCAATAAACGAGCCATTGTACTCGCACAATTCGGCCGAAGGCGGTGAGAAGCCGCTAAATGGAAATGTCCGTGGCAAATGAGCTCTTCAAAGCAAATTGAGCAACGCCGTGTCGCGTATTCCACTTCCATTCACCCTGAATCGTCGCGTGGACGAGGTAATCCGTGAAATAATTCCCCATTACGCGCGAACGCGATACATTCGACGTGCCGCTCGCCAACGATAAATTATCGACGAACTGCTGCTTTCGTAGCGAAAATATTTGTAGCGTAAGTTGCGTAAAAAAAAACTAGTATCGCTTTTCTACTTGCTGGAATATAATGACGTAATGTCCGCTGGCGAGAATTGATTACTCGACTCCACTTGTGCGTTAGTTAACAATTACATTGCTCGCACGAAATTACATAATGGCGAACAATTATATCGGCAATTTAAACCGGACCGGTTAAAAGCATATGTCACAATATCTGCATTGTTATCAGCCAATTTCTCGTGGCTATCTCTAATCGCAATTTTCATTAGCGTGAACAAGTGTAAAATTATGACAGCAAGTGCCGAGGTCTTTTTTCCGAACTTGTAGCGAATTCGGTTGCTCGCACTAGTGCGCGCTGGGGAGAAATGGGGAAACAATCTCATTATGTATGTCCCAATCATATATGTAATATCTAATTATACCTCAGGAGATCCAATTCTAAAAATCATCAGATCCTCCGAGATTTTACGCTTTCCTTGAATGTTCGACGTTGTCTATTGAGATCTAACTAAATCTATAATTGAATCTCCAAAGAGAACATAATTAGATCTCAATAGATAATAACATTGATGATTTTAGAATTGGACATAATTAGATATTACACGATTGAGACGTATATAATGAGATATTTCCACTTTTTCCCGGGAACCGAATTCGGTTTTTCTCGATTGCGCTAAATCCACGTGTGCCAGGTAATCGCAATCCTCTTGTAAAATATAAAACGCAGGTGAAATTATCACACACATACACATACAATCCTCGTCGGACGCAATGCTGCGGTGTGTCTGTCGGGGCATGCAGCAAAAATCTTTACTGTAACTTTCGCCACAAATTCCCCTCGCGTTAACGTCACGTTCGCCGCCTGATTATTTTCCCGTCCAGCAGGGCACGATTTGCGCGATCGCCTGCTCGATGATCGCGCTGGCGCTCGCGAAACCGGCTCCGGAGCCGCCGGTGAGCTCGTACTTTCCACCCTCCGGAGGAGGCGGCGGCGGCGGCGGCGGCGGCGGCTACGGACCACCCGCGGATCGCTACGGCCCGCCACAGCAGAACCCGGTGATCCACAAGCACGTGTACGTCCACGTGCCGCCGCCGGAAGCGCCGGAGTACAAGCCGCCCAAGCATTACCCGCAGCAGCAGCCGCAGAAGCACTACAAGATAGTGTTCATCAAGGCGCCGACCCCGCCTACGCCGACCGCGCCGCAGCTGCCGCCGCTGCCGCAGCCGGACGAGGAGAAGACGCTCATCTACGTCCTGGTGAAGAAACCGGAAGAGGCGCCCGAGATCGTGCTGCCGACGCAGGCGCCGACGCAGCCCAGCAAACCGGAGGTCTACTTCATCCGCTACAAAACTCAGGTAAATCCTTTTCTTTCTTTTTTTTTTGTTACGCTTCGACGGTGTAATTCGCGTGGTCTTTTTTTTTTACTCAACGCAATCGCTCGGGTTGAGCTCGAGCAGGGATGACGCACGACGTCCCTATCGTCGGATCTAAATGCAACGCGTTGTTGCGCAACCCGCTCGCTTGCTCCAAGCGCGTGCGAAACGCGCGCGCGCGCGCGGCCGCTTCGAAAGCCGGTCTATCGAGGAACGATTTCGGCGAATGTCGAAAGCCGAAAGTGTGACGCCTCGCGCTCGCGGCATGTAAATTGCTCATTTCGCTGACGGGAGCGAGCGCGATGTGGCTCGTCTTTCTTTTTTGCATGGGATACGAAAGGATCCGGATGTTGGGCGCGTGGTTGCTCGCACGTCGTATATCTCGACCGAGTGTACGACCTTACTTTTAATCGGACGCGAATCACCTTTCCACGGTTCGACTATATATATATAAAAAAAAGAAGAAAAGAAACCGCCAAGGTGATTGCCGTGTCGACGATTTGAATAATTGCGGAGAGTTTCTCCTCGAATGTCGTTCCGTAACGCCGATCTGTGCGAGCTCTCGAGATTTCTACAACAATACGCCGCAGGTTGCAGGGATTAGTTGTATTGTACACGTTAACATATCGCTAGAACTCTTCGTTACAAAAGATATCTTTCACTATACACGTCGCGCTCCGCTTAGCGAACTATCGAATATCAAGATCGGGAGCCTTGACCGTTTGCCGACGTCGAAGGGATGTTCTTCCACGTTCAGCTGAACCGCCGGGCGATCCCTCCGGCCGAGTCGCTTCCCAAAATTGCTTGTCCTGCTAGCTAGACTACAGATATATCGGCGAGATTTAAATTATGCGAAATACGAAGACCAGCTACCGAACTCTGCTAATTGCCATCACAGAAAAGATCACGGCCGCGCGATAGCCACAATATAAAATTCACATATGCGTCACGTGTCCGCCTCTCTGCCTCTCTTATCTTGTCCCTTATTTATTTTTACGCATTACAGAAGGAGCAAGGCGGCGGCGAGTACGGCCCACCCGGGCAACAGCCGGGACAACCCATCGACAGTTACGGGGCACCGCATCCGGGCCCCAGTGGACCGTACTAGGGTTGATCATCGCACGAGCGCACGTCACCCCCTCACCACCCTCGAGACCCTCGGCATTTTTACGGAGACGAATATTTCACGTGGTGTGACTACTCCCGGTCGTTTCGCGACACGCGGGTCCGGATGGAACTTGGGAATCGTAGGGGGGGGAGGATGTACATATCGCCTGTATCTCTCACAAGATAGGCCGCGTGGCGTTTCAAGGTGCTTAAGAGGCAGACGCTTCGTGTCGCTAAAACCTAATCGTGATGTCGCTCGCGTACACACACCGTACACACGCATACGTAACAAATCCTTGAACGATCAAGCACAGAGTGCAACGTTCGTCGCGTTGTCCTCTGTTGAAAGAAATGTAAAAAAAAAACGAACGAATAACTTTTATACGAGACGTCGATGTTTTTTTTGTATCTTTTAAGAAAATAATCGTAAATACATTCTTTTTTTATATCAAACAACTTCCGACAATGTTGTTCACCTCACCGCCTTTCTCTTTCAGGAATAGCTTTATCCCTCGCTTCGGAGATTCTCATAATCCGTTTCTCCTCCTGCCCCTTTCGCCCTCGAGTGTTTCGTTCTCTCATATCGATAACGCAACACAAAATCGAAATTGTTGAAATCTAGATCGCAAGCATTACTCGCAATCCCTATCATTGTCCTTGAGATGTTTTAGAGAGTCCCGAAAATCTGTACTCGAGAATGTATCTATTGCCCACGCGTGTTATCTGTCGACTAAATTCGCGATTACTATAACGATTCTCTCGAAGACATTTGGAATATATGATTCCAAGATCAGGTATTCGCAAGTATCTGATAGAGCGCATTTGCCGAGCGTCACGCATTTAGTATTTAAACAAATTTAAAATTTTAATCGACCTCAGCTGGCCACATTTATTGAATACGCTTTCACAACGTTTCGACCTTTGGTTTAGGTCCTTTTCAAGTGTGATCTTGTTACGGAGTTTGTCAAGTAAAATTATAGCCACAATTTGGCGAGCGGTGTTAAAAAATAAGAGCCATTTCACTCATATGATCTGCAGCGCAGCAAGAATTTCAGTCGTTGGTTTGTCTTGCAAATTTTGGCGTTGAGATTCAGCCAGGATTTCATTAAGGTCGTGTCATCGTGTCTAAACTGTCTGTGGCTGTAATTTCACTTGACAAACTCCGTAACAAGTTCTCACTTGAAAAGGACCTAAATCAAAGGTCGAAACGTGTGAAAGCGTATTCAATAAATGTGCTGAGGTCGATTAAAATTTTAAATTTGTTTATATCAATACTGGCAATCTGATGAAATATACCATTTTAGTATTTAAGTACGAGACAAACGGTCAGCGCGAGTTTTAATTCCCAAATTAAAATTCACCCGTTCGCGACTCATCAACTAAGTACACTAGGAATCACCGACGCCTTCCCATATGAATTTAGGCACGTATTAACACGTTTGTACATTTTGCATATACATACATGGAAAATGTGTACGTGTTCTACCGGTGTCTAAACTCATATGGGAAGGCATCAGTGATTCCTAGTGTAGAAAGGTCTCGCGTCAGGAAAGTCGCGTTGTACCGTTCTGTCAGCTTCGAGCCTGATAAACGCTATCGGCAAGTGCATACGATATAACTCCTGGCTGCGCTACGCTTATGTATATTCCTATCTCTTCCAGTATCTACAACTTTGTAAACCTGCACGCGCACAACTACGTCAAAGATTCCAGAGACTGGGCGTACTTGCAATGAATTAAGGTCGTTATGTGCGAGGTACCACGAATCACTTTTGTCGATCTAACTTGTTGATTACTCGTGAATTGCGCGAGCGACTAGGTGGTCGAGAAATCGCTAAGTATGTCAGTTTCTGGACACTTTGTATATCGAACTGGTATCCACTAATTTCTCTTAATTTTGATGAGCTGTGTGTTCGAAGGGCTGTGTGCACAAGAGCCGCATTCCTACTGCAATACGAATAGATAGGTAGATCGTTGTTAGACTTTTACCTACAAAAATAACTGCAAACGTATAAGATTGAAAATCGCTTCTCGCGTCGCTTTATACCGTATATCGACACTAATAGAGCGTGCGTATACACGGTAGAAGGTATACACCCGACTAGAATTACCGGTAAATCTGTTATCGTCGTATTTACATTTAGAGAGGTATAGCAAACGCGGTTAATCGCATTAGATCGGTAAAATGTAGCACTACGATAAAATATACATATATTTCAATTTCAATCGTGCATGATATCGCGACACCTGACTATGCTGTCTTAGCTATTTTCGCACTTAAAAAACCACGGTATTATTCCCTAGGTGTTCTCTGCAACGCAATTTTCCCTGAAATTATTTTAGCGAATGGACGTTCTCACTGCGTTATCTAGATGCACAATTGCTTTTGCCTCAGAGTCTTTTTTCCTTTCAAGATATTGTTGACTAGCTTACGCGGCCACTACTACGTGTAATATTCGTAACTTATCGCTAAAAGGGCATAACGCGTTTTAACAGATGCTATTACCAATGAAATACATGTAAATGAAACTGTCCAATCGCACGCGCTACATATACAAAAATACGATTAGAGACGCAAGAAAAGTTGTAGGAAAATACTGAAGTATCTAGAACTGTTTGCTGGAATTGCTTCAATTTTCGTGTCGTTTGGCCGTAGAAACCTCCAAGTACAGGCACACAAAATTCCCGACCAGCGGAATTTTTTCTAAACGGTGCGTCGATTTACAAATTGAAATGTTCTTAGCAGTAATGTCCGCGTGGATATATCCCACTACCATCGCCATTTCGTTTCGGTGATGGATTCTTCAAGAGAACTTGTCCACTCGCGAAACTTGATCGCCGAGCGTATATTCAAGCGATGGAAATTCAGCATTACGTTTTAAAGAATTCACAACCGTTGCGAAACGCGATAGTGATGGTAACACGCCTTATTATATCCCGTATCTTCCGTTGGATATGCGCTATCACATTTCTTTCTGAAGACTAGTGACAGTAAGTGAACGTAACCGTATACTAGCGTCCATCACACCACAGCTGCACGTCTTCTCGAATATCGATTCGCAACAAACAACGGTGCGAAAGAAAAAAAAAACAAGTACAGGGGGCAATGACTCAATAACGTCGGAGGGGGGGAAAAGAAAAGAGAGATCGTGCCATCTTATTCTTGGTGCGATCGCTGACGTTCGTGTCTTTGATGACCGACCAGCCGTTTAATGTACGGCGCGAGCAGTGGGTAACAGAGGAAGAACACGTGTCCGCAATAATATAAACTAGAGTAAACTTGATTATACCGCGGATACGAGAGAAGTACGAACGACACGAGGGCGTATCCCATGAAAACGAAGGTGTAAAGCTTCAGAAAGATCCAAGCGAGTATACGCGCTTCCCATCGCGTTTTCAGGAGCGTTTGCACTTTCTCGCTGTTCTGCAATACTGGTCCAATCTAGACAAGAGAAAGTGAGCGGGGAAATAAGAATAGAACGAATGGGCCGAGCGGCGGAACAACCTTCGAAAGCTCTCTGCTCGTGCGAGCCGCAATTGTGTACTTACGTCTCGTTCGAGGTACAACACGACAAATTCCATAAAGAAACAGTGATAGTATCCCGAGTGAAAACCGTGCCAGAGGGCGAGGAAGAGCAGCGTCATTACTTGACTGTACATTTTTGAACCCAGAAACTTCAGCCTCTTGTAGATGTACTCGGCGCACCAGTGATTGGTATTTATGTTGAAAGAGAGAATGTAGTGATTAAACTGCGTAGTAGTTTCGAATGTTCGCAGTTTAACGTTCGCGCAACCGTCCCACTTGATACGACCTTTCGAGTCTTTTCCGTTGTGAGTGAGACCGAAGGTGATGCATACCTGAAATCAAAACTGGACCGTGACAACGACACAACAAGCACACACACACACACACATATACTACAAGTAAAGATGAATAACGTTAAAGATCGTTTCGATCACATACCCCTTCTGTGATTAGCCAGACGCTGACGTATTTGTATAAATTGATGCGGCCCCACAGGCCGATCACCAAGCACTTCTTTATTAAATTTAGCTTCTGGAACGACGGTTCAAAGAGATACTGATCGGAAACGTAGAGCGTGCCGATTTGGAATATCGCTACATATATGAAACCGATGAATGCTCGTAACAATCCCGCCGACACGCAATCCGGCAGCTTGATGGCACCGGTTTGAGGATCCTAAAACGTAAGAAAAAGAGCACGTTACTTATATCAAATGGACATTCGTATTTTCTCTAACTGAGCAACCAAATGGTCCCCGCGTTCGCCGAGGGACCAGCGGTTGTTCCAATTCATCAACGTACGCGTTCTGTGAGCAGACCGTTGACATAGTCCAAGTATCGTCGCATACTGAATTGCGGCCCGATGAGGAAGGCGCCCGGAAAATAAGCGTACGCCGCAATCTCCAGTAGCGACGGTCGCTCCTTCAGCGCCACGCGTTTTTGACTGTCGGACAGCTCTTCCTGTAACACCAAGGTCGTTACGCCGCGAAATGAACGAGATAATAAGAATTAGGAAAACAATAGCGTTTCGTACGTCACGTTTCTGACCGTCCCACAAATTAAATGCAAGTCCTATTAACCTAAGGGTCAGCACGCACTGCGGCATTGTCCATTTTATATCGTAATCTTGGGTACTGGTGGTGTAATAGCCTGTATTGGAAAACAATTTATGTTTAAATGCCTTGCAGCTCGAAATGATCGGCGAGAGGAAAAAAAAGGATGTTAAAAATATTCGCTATTTCAAATTATCGATACGTATTGCCCGCAACTTTTCAAACTAGTCAAAGTATAGAGCGCTGTGACGACAAAACGCACGTAACGTAAGAACATTATATACAATTACTCCACTATCGTTATAACTGTAGTTTAATTTTTTTTCTCTCCAACCTTTTGTTCCGGCTTCTAGGACAAAGGAAGCGTGAATTTAAACTACCCGAAAAAAGAAGCCTTGACCGTATTATGTTAATTCCACGATCACCGCGCCAGACAACACGAGAATAATAAATAGATAGTGCCGCAGGGTAAGTATAGGTAATATATCCGTGGGCCGGCTTTGCGAGTGTGAATAAACTTTCAAATTCGCCACCGTCGTACGCTGCTTTACCGTAGAGTAGGTACGTCATGTTGAAGAGGAACGTCACTATGACAGACAATCCGGTGCTGCCGAGGATCGTCAGGATTAGGTACGTCGCGCATACTGCCGTCGATGAATGGAGTATATTACAATCTGCAAAATCATCATTGTTATTATTATCATGCGCGTCTTTATGGACATGCGAACGCCGGTGTATCATTTGCGTGTCATTCTCCGCGAATTGAGATACCGTTCGAGCGAATTACCGTAATTCCAGTAGCCAATTGAGAGACCGCACGCTATGAAAAATAAGTGCTGACGAATGGGGTCTTTGCCGTAGAGCGTGTACCTGTGAAGGAGAGCAACGGGGAATCCTGAAATCAGAGATCACATTGTTACGATTTTTTTTTTGTTAAATCAGGTTTTCTATCTTTTCTACGTTTCCTCAGTTGTGTGCGTCTCGATCGAGGTGTCAGCAATATTATTTAAATTTCATACGATGCAACGAGGTTTCGCTTTCAGTTTTTGGAGGAACTGAAACCACTGCGTTGTAACGTTCCATTACCAACGTAAACGAGAAGTGGTGCGGAACACGACGAGTTATTATCGAAATGCCGTTTAATCTGGCGAGAAGTTTATTTAAAAAAAAATGTTCAAGGATTGTAACGAGTATATACTAAAAGTAATGTATGTATAAACTCTGTGCCTGGGAAGCGAACTGTCGTGCAACTACGAAATTATCGACTTTGAGATTTTATCTCAACGAACGTGATTAAAACTTGCGACAAATCCTGTATCGAAGTAAATGATCTCCCGAACAAATAACAAAAAGATATTTTCCAACTTTAGAGAAATATAAAAAACCAACTTACAGAAATGTAAGTAAATTTCTCGGCTCACCGGTATATAATTTGCTACATGTCAGTTAACAGTTGACCTCTCATTATGATTAAGTATTATATCGCACAAAGCGCTCTATGCAATTCTGGGGCATTTTAGTTATACAGGGTGTTTCAGGGTAAAGTGTCCTAACTTAAAATATGAACTTAGGACCTCAAAACAAGAAAAAACTTTCCTCTGGAGACATGTCCGTAAACGCTTTGTTTAAGAGATATTGACATCTAAACATTTTTTCATTATAAAATTTTATGAAATTGTTATCGGGTTATAATAAATAATTTAATAGTGTGCTTCAAATACTTTATTATTAAAAAATATGAAATTTTTT